TTTCTTAAATAATTTAAAACAAATTAAATGGTCATAAAATATAAATAAACTTATTTGCAAATAAAAAAATGAATTAATTAATCATTGTTAAATCTCTCTCTCTTTCTGTTCTTCACAAGAACTTTTATGCTAAGGTCTTTACTTCATTTCTATAAGTTCATTCAGCTGATGTGCATAGAAATTCAATTGCAATAATCAAATTACAAATTAGAGAATACAAAATAAATTCTATTAAAATATAGAGTCCATTTCTGGTTACATTAATGCTGTGCCCAGACCAACTGTCCAACGTGGCGTAGTTGTTGCAGTTGCTGTAAATGAAATCCATTTTGTGGCAAACAGAATTTCCCAGCAATTACACACAATTTCAATTTGATGGGCCACAGGCCCCGCTAAATTTGGGGCTCATTATGGTCAAAAATCAGAAATACTTGGTAGCCAATAGGCTGGAATAATGCGCAAGGACAAAGCTCAATGGGTTGTTAATGAATTAATTAATGCTTAAACGCGAGTTACATTAAATTTATTACAACAGCAACAACAACAACATAACAACAACTATCTGGCTAGCTAGAAAAGTCATCAATTTTAGTGGGCTGTCCGTTCTGTGGAATTGAGGTTTGGGGAATTTGGGGGCGGATGCGCCAACGGAGCCAGCCAAGCATGCAATTTGCAAGCTTATTTATGGGCCCCAAGACGGCGCGCTAAACCGGATGCGGGTCCGGAACCATAAAGAAAACTTGCAAAATAAAACTTTTCCGCTATTTGATTTGTTGGTCAGCGCCAAGTCGAAGGGTTTCGAGTCTGCGAAAATCTATTGACCCATTAGGCTATCTGTAAGCAGCAAATAGAAATTGGCAAACTGCAATTGCAACTTTGACTGCAAATGCAGCTGCAACGCTGCTCAGCTCTGCTCAGCTCTGCTCTGCTCTCGTTCTGGTCCTGCTCTACTCCTTCCGCTCCGGTCAAATGTTCCGTCCACATCCTGGCGCTTTTATTCATTCACTTGCGAAAAAACTTTACAACTTCTGGCCTCGAGCGGCGGATGTTCGTGGGCTGTCGCTGCCACAGGATGGGGGCCCAGAAATGGCTGCACTTCCTTTCCGCTTTCTGCTTTATGTTTGGGCTCCAACAGCCAAACAGCCAAACACTCACACACAAACACACGCTAACAGAGTTTGGCTATGTAAATAGCTTTTTATTATGTTTTCTAGTTAATTTATACAAATTATATACCTTACTATAAATTACTAAAAATACAGCTAAATTTTAACAAGCCAGCGTTAGAGTAGAAGCCTAAGTGGAAATAAGAGCGCGAGCAAGCGCCGAGCTTGACTGACTAAAATATACCCATAATCCAGCAACAAGCTACTAAATAGTTTATGAAATCACATTTACTAAATGAGCGTGCACCTAATTATGATTAACTTAGTGTCAATAAATCCAGTGAGTATTTACTTAATGATTGTCAACATATTAACTTATAATCACAATTATTATTATATATTTTCTTTAAATAATTCATTNTCTTAACTAATCAAATACTTGCCAAAGCACAGCAGAATAGAAGAAGAATGGCACGGCATGGCACTGAGCGGAACGGGACGGGATGAGACGAAACGACTGACCACCAAGAAATTAGAAATACGACTGAAGAAGCGCTTCAACCGGCTCTCCTTATATAGAACAGCAAGACTCTCGACCGAACACGAGCTGAACTCTCGACCTGAAGACCCGAAGATCAGCTGGAGAGTAAATGTAAACTTGCATATGTGTGCAGCAGTAGCTGCACAAACGGCTCTGATTGGTCGGCTGATGATTGAGTGGTTTCTGCAGCTTCTCCTGCACACATATACAACTTAAGATCTCTCTTTCAGCTCTGCCTCGGCTCTGTCTCTCTCTCTGCTCTTCTTCTTGCCTTCAATTGATTGAATATATTAGATGTGTGATTATATAGACTGACAGAACGACAGACAGACTGATATACAGACTGACAGACAGACAGAGTGACATACAGACTGACAGACAGACAGAGTGACATACAGACTGACAGACAGACAGACTGACAGACAGACTAACACACATACTAACACACAGACTGACAGACAGACAGACTGACAGACAGACTGACATACAGACTGACAGACTGACATACAGACTGACAGACTGACAGACTGACAGACAGACAGACAGACTGACAGACAGACTGACTGACAGACAAACATACTGACGGACAGGCAAACTGACTGACAGAACGACAGACAGACTGTCAGACAGGCTGACAGACAGACTGACAGACAAACAAACTGACGGACAGGCCAACTGACTGACAGAACGACAGACTGACGGACAGGCGAAATGGCAGATTGACTGACTCACAGACAGCCTGAAAGTCTGACAGACTGACTGACAAATAGACCTGATTAGATTACACCATTGATCTGATAAGGAATATACTAATACATATATGTACTTTCGGAATCTGTCAAGCTTACATAAATTAGCTTGGCTGTCAACCTCAATCAAGAATTTATTATATTGCTATAATATTACTTCATAGGCATAGCCCCGTTCTAAACAAAACTATATAACCCGCTTAACAATATAAAGTATAACAGCACAAGTAAAGTATACAAAAATGTGGCTCATCATAAATGCAGTGTTGTAAAATGTTCTAAAATTGTGCTGGGCTTTAATTAGCTCAACTAGCGAATGCAATTTGAGCTTAACTTGATGAGAATCAAGAAATCTGCATTAAAAGAGCACAGATGGCACTCATAGTTACGGGCAGAGCTTGAGAACGACAAAAACAGAAACAGAAAGCGAGAGCGAGAGAGAGTGCGAGAATGAGAGGGAGAGAGAACCAGCGCGTGCAGGTAAATAGAAGGTAAACACCAGGTGTAAGTAAGCGAAAAAAAAGCCAAGTTGAGCAGCTCATAAAAACTCAAGAAGGCGAAATATTTAGCTTGAAGGGTGCAGCAAAATGGAAAAGTATATGGAAAGGTTGTAGGGGCGTGGCAAGGCTTAGCTGACACCGACGGACTCACGGCTGCATTTAGCTAATCCATGGCCCAAGTTTAAGCAAAACAAAGCCAAATGCCAAAGCACAACTCAAGGACAACGACGACGACGTCGCCTGCCAGGATGTAGAAGGTGCAGGCAGGTGGGCGGGTGGTTAGATGGGCAGGTGGGCAAACTGGCAGGCCGTCGAGTGGCACTGGGGTACGACAACTATGCGACTACTTGACAGTCGCCAAGTCTCGAGCTCAGTTCTTTATTTGAATGCTCTATACCCAAGGTGAATGGGCAAGACAAGAGAGTGGATTGGCTGCCCGACACGGAAAATGCATTTGGCGAAATCTGAATTCCCAGAGAGACAGAAGTTTTTTCAATATAATATATTGACTTTTATTGAAACGACCCTCGCATTTCTCCTAATAAAGAATGAGATAGCATAGCTCCGTTGTATAGCTTATATATCATTCGAGAATTTTGTGTCTATATTTCTTTAAGATCGATAAATGTCGATTCGACTTATTAATTATCTGATAAATATTTTAGTAAATTGAAATTAGTTAATTTAAGGTGGGTAATTTCAATTAATTGCTTCTCTTAGCTAATGCACATACCTCAAATCCGTTTGCTCAGCTTCTTCTTCAATCCTCCCGATATCTATGCTTATCGATAACTAACATTAATTAGCTCTGCTATGTCACTTAATTATTGTTTGGATATGATGCTCCTCATGCATTTTTGTGTATATTTTTTATTCTGCATTTTTTCTGCATTACTTATCGATTGCTATCGATTGTCAGTCTTCATTATAGAAATTATTCTTTCCATAGTCTGCATTATGTATATATTGAGTCACCTTGAAATTCAATCCCAATTCATTTGCCTTGAGTATACACCCCACTCCGATTCCACTCTACGTAAAGGGTATCTGCTGTAGCTGTATTTTTTTTTTCTTCTCTTGTAGCTCTTTGTGCTGCATGCTTTTGTGCGCTTAAATTTGCTGCTGCAAATATTTTTTGTGGAACGCTTCTATGCAAATTGATGGCTTCTGTTTGTGTTTAGCGCGCAGTCGAAAAACTCGCAAATCCGTTGAAAATCCTTTTTAACTTTTAATGATGCCCGCCCGTCACTCAGCTCATTGCCTGCTCCCTGCCTCTTGCTCCCTGCTGCCTGCTGTTTGTCGCTCCTTCGACAGCTCGCATAGTGCGGCAATGTTTTCTCTTGAGATTTGCGTAAAGTATCTGCTAAAAGCTTCCCTTCATTTCGGCAACACCGACCACATGGCCACAACAAAAAACGAGCCGAGCAAAAGGAGCAGCTGCCCCAAATTCTGTTTGCCATCAATTTAGCCAGGCTAACAAATATGAAAGCCATTTTCATGCTCGCACAGCCTCCCAGCTGAGCGCCT